TTCCAATTGCTTAAATTGGAAAATTAACTGCGATGATCATTCTTCACTCTCATCTACAACCGCAGTTCATATATGAATTATTTCATATAAACTTCACGTTGTTTTAGGTCTGTTGATAACAATTCTCGTATTATCATTGTCTCAGGTGAAAATCAGATCTGAATCGATACCCATGATTTGTAAGGCGTGGAATAAATAAACGAATCAAAATTCAAGCATTTTGATTCATCTGCTTCCACTTGGGTCAATCTTAAGCCAATTTGAAACTAGACGCAAATTGTAAGAGATTTAATCTTTCGGGTAGCGCGACTTATGGGAGGCGAGAGGACCCAATGATTTACAACTCGAGATCGAGCGGTTCAGGTTCAGGCCCTGGCTGTAGCAAGGCACTTTACTCTCAGTGCCTCCCTTGACCAAGTGTAAATGGGTACCGGCGAATTTAAAGCTAGGGGGTAACCCTGCAATGGACTACTATCTCATCCAGGGAGGAGCAGAAATACTCCTAGCCGCTTCATGCCATGGACCCCGGAGATAAGCACTGACCCGATAGGTTTCTAAGCTCGAACGAAGACCTTACTTTACCCTTCCTCCATCTCTTATCAAGTCCGGTCTGGAAAACGTGAAAGGTGAGATCGATTTGAGCTCAAGAAACAGTTTTTTTATGATTTGTTTTCAATAACTAAAGTGAAGCTTATGTATTCACTAAACTTGTCTTACAAGGCAACAGTAAGCACTGCTTACAACTATAACACTCGTCTAAAAGTATATATTTGTCGTTACACTCCCCAGAAACGCATCCTTAGGTTTTGAGCGTGATAACAGGTAGGACTGGGAGAGTTTCACGCTAATTCAGTCACATGATTCGCTCACACATTTTAGTGTCTATACATTGGCGCGAATTTTGAATTACTCGATAAATGTAACTTGATAGCTACCTCGAAAATCATGATACGAATGAATCAAGTCTCCTGCAGTTAACCGTCATTATCATTACCGTTTAAAATCTTAAAATATTGAGATTACTCAAGAGACAGCACTGCTACCTGACAGTTTTGTGAAAAAAAAGTTAAACGTTCTTAATGAAAAATGAGTTTTCGAAGACTCAAAACTGACGTGGGGAGAAAGGACGTTCCTCAGTGGTGATAACTGGATAAGTTAACTACTATAAAAACTGATACTACAAGCGATAGCCACCAAGGATTCCTCACTTCCATCACAGGGTCTCCCTCTTTACACTGTACCGTGAGGTGAGCAGAATGGAGTGAGGAAATACTCTGAGAACGAGTTTAAACAGAACTTAAGAATCAGCAGTTTCTGACAATACTTAAAGTAACTCTCGTTAGTGGTACCACGTAGGCGTGATAAAAAACTGAACACTGTTTTCTTTCTCAAAGCACGTTTCCTGTATTACATCTTCTTTGTTAAAAAAATGGGTTTTTTTTGTGACTCAGTTCCGTTAAGGTTATGATGTAGCGGTGGCAAAGGCATTTTCTTTATCCGTGTCTCTTAGTTCAGTCCCAGTGCTCCCCTCATCTTCAGAAGAACAACCCTTTGATCTTCCTTCTTTCTTACTCTCTGCGCCTCCGTTTTTGGTGCCGAGCGGAACTTTCTTTCCCTTGCAGCTGCATTTCTGACTTTCTTTGATAAGTTTGTTTACTTGCTGATGTGCAAAACAAAGAAAAAACTGGTTACTATCAGCACAAGCAAGACACCTAAGGACCGTTCAACGCAGATGGACTATTTAGATGTGGTATTTCAACTACTTACTTCTTTGAGGGCATTATTTTCTTTTTTAATTAGTAACAGATGCTGCAGTTTTTGCTGTGGGTTTTGATGACCTTTCAGTCGAGCAATCTCCTCTTCGTGTTTTTGCATAGCCTATGAAGAAACAAACCAACTAGTCACAAAATGACAAAAAGTATTACAACTACGTTCTTTGACAAAACCAACACAAGCGACCACTCCTGGGATTACGATGTGGGCAACTTTGGAAATATACTATTAAGGACATTGAAATAGCAGCTGTGGTTATTTGCTCTTTAAATTACCGGGATTTCCCCGAAAGAAACAGGATTTTTTTTTCCGAGGGAAAGAGTTTTGCGAGCGACAATGGAGGTACATTGAGCCAGTCGAAGCAAAGTGTGAAATCCTTTTTCTTTTTACGATAACTGCAGAAACTCTCGCGCGCTCATTGGCTAATTTTCATTGTCAATAAGCGGACAGACAAATGAATTTATAATTTATGCGATGCATGAAGGAGCGAGAGAGAACAATTTGACAATTTTTTATCGTAAAAAACAAATTGACGTCAGTTTTTCATGCGTCTGTCCTATCATAACATTGTCAAAGTAGTCAGCGGATCCACTCGGCTATCGCCTCGCGCTTTGACAATGTTATGACGAAATTCATCATTAATAACAGGACAGACGCATGGAAAACTGACGTCAGTTTGTTAACTCGCAAAGAGGAAAGATGTTTTACAAGTTTGAGAAGATGATTGAAAAGAAAGTAGGCCGGTACGATCGGAGCAACGGCCTTGAATAAAACCCAAATTGTTCGGAAAAAAGAGCACATGTTAGTGTTGGATAATAAATGAGCTCCTAAAGTACTTTAGCATATATTTCCTTACCTTCTCCAATTTAAATTTCTCCTCCATGGTGGATTCAAGTCTAGATTTCAGTTCTTCTTTTTCTTCAAATCCTTGCTTTTCCATTTGTCTTGTCCTAAATAAACAGTCATACAATACTATTAACGAATGCCCTTCGGTATGATAAAGCTACAAAAAAACAGTCGAGCAAAGCAAGCCACGTAAGACATGTAAGGAGCAAATCGAAAAACTTCTTGCACGACCTGGCCCTGAAACAACAATTCTTGCGCAGAAAAATTATCCAAGCTACCACTCGAAACTGTTGTGGTCCATCCCTTATGCAAAGAAAGAAATTGAGCGAGCGAAGAGAGAAGTCAGCTCAAATCTGACTCGTTGAGTTTGGCAGAATGTTGATCTCGAGAAAATATAAGTTAGCTTCTCGGGATCACAGCGACACTCCTTTGACATTCATCTGCTCTTCGCTTAATTTGTAGAGAGAAAATTCGGCTCGAAAGAGCAAACTTGATCCGCAATTCTTAGTAAATATGTTTAACGCTAGTATGATAAGGAATGTTCTCTTTGATGTTACCTCTCGAGTTCTTCTGCCATGTATTCGGCGTCTTCTAAGGCTGTCTCCATATTTAGCTTAGCGGCAGCCAATCTGTTACAAGCAAAGCAAAGTAAGCGATAAACTTAATTTCCTGTTGACAAGCACATATAAGCAGCTGTTTTGAATTCTGCTAAACAAAAGATACCTGGCTGCTGTAAACATGCACTGAAAACGATCGCCAGATTGAAATCAGTTTTAAAGTGTAAACGTCAAGGATCGATATATCACTAATGATCTGATTGTGAATCGTAAACCTTTCGAACGTGATATTGCCAAAACAACACTCGTCACGTGACACAAAACATAATTGTATGAAGATCAATCGCCCAACGTGGAACAAAAGCGCACGAGCTCCCCTATCAATCAAAACAAGCTTCTCAACATTTCGTTTGCCCACTCTTCCGTTACTGACTGGCGTTTTACGATCTTTTATAAATTCAGTTCAAAACACTCAACAGTTGTATTACTTACTCAGTCTCAACGGTTTGTTTCTCCAACAAAATTTGGTCCTGTAAACAAATTAATTGGCTGGTTAGTTGTTGTTGGTTATAAGTCTTTCAAACTTTGATAGACATAAAGGTCGTTCTGAGAAAATGTACCTGCCGTTTTCGGTAATTATTCTTATGTACAATCATTGGAATACAGTCGAACCTCCGGTTGCGACCAACTCTCCTAAGCGACCAGTTTTCCAAAATACCAAAATTTTCCAAGACAAATCACTATATTTGAAACCTCTTGTAAGCGACCACCTCTCGTAAGCGACCGCGACCACTTTTAGAACTAAACATATCAAATTTTGTTTCGTTTTTAACCTCCCGTAAGCGACCAGTGGACAGATAATTGAACGAAAATTGGATAATAAGGTGTTGCAACATTATCACATTCCTGGATAGTACAAGAGACGGAAATTTCTCAGTGGGAAGTACCAGATTTTTTCTCAAAATCGACTTTTCACATGAATAAAGCATTTAAAACAGGGATAAGTCTCTTCAGTCACCTTGCGCTAATGGGGCAAAATTTTGACCTAACATCGTCTAAGCTCTCGTGAGCGACCACCTCCCGTAAGCGCTTACGGCAGGTTCAACTGTATTTTCTAAGTTTTCTTGTGGTTTCTTCCTATCAAGAAATAACCCGTGTACTCTATAATTAGACAAGTTGACGTCGTCAGAGACTCATCTGAAAATATGGGAGTTTCCTAACAGTACTCTGGACGTAAACTGCAACTGTAGCTGAAATGATTCCCTAGCAATTCTAGTCGTTCTTGCTGTAAGCACAACAGTAGTAGACCTTCGTTTCTGTGGCACTTCGCTGTTTCTCATCTGCGTTTTCTAATTCCTTCCTCAATCTCTCAACTTCTGTTTTGAAATTTTCTTCCCTGAAAAAAAAAAGCAAAAAATTCAGGAAAAGCAATGTTATGTACTGTCTAATAAACGCGAGTATAGGTACAGCCACAAATGAAACCGTATTCCTAAACTGAAATCCTGCAATATTCTTCACCAAATTGCCTTTAAAAAATTCTTATTTCTTGCCGAGTATATCACAAGTCAGCCGATCAGTCCGTATTTTTTCAAAGAGATTATAAAGTCAACAACAATCACTGAACCCTGGATGAGCGCCCATATTCTCCTAACTGTTACCATGTACATTCACTAAATCTGCTAAGGAGAATTCGGTTTTCAATCAATAGGTTCTAGTGGTACAAAAAAATAGGTTTGATACAAATTTTCATGTGAATAAAGAGCTTAAATTTATACCGCTCGAGTACTTTTTAAGCCACACCCACATATATTCTTGCTAAAAGCTGAAATTTCCCAAATGTTATCAGTCTCCCTAATATCTTGTCTATTCAGCACACTATGGGGCTGAGGTTTGGACAATTTGTTTCTTGGTACTTACTCTGTAATCTATAGAGAAACCACCATTGAACACGCACGAACCCTCTTAAGTGTCCAGTTAATACGGGTTCATTTAACAGAAAATAAGGTAGAAATGTTTGGGCCTCACTGGGGTTGGTTTCGGCTTAATATGGTTTCCGCTTGATGCAGGTTTCACTGTATATTTTAGTCTGTGCAAGCAGTTAGATCTATATACCTTTCTCTAGCCTCGTACATCTCAACCTCAAGTTGGTAATTCAGTGTTTTACAGTGAGTCTCCAGCAGGCCATTATTTCTTCTCAGCTCATCCATCTCGTCCACTTGTCCTCGTAATAACTCCATTTCTTCGTTTCTCTCTTGACGGTGCGCCTCTAAGTTGTCAATCACTTTACTCATGGTTACCTTGTGTAAAACAGCTGTCAATCAAATCGCTTTGTCCGAACGAAAGTTTAAAAATGACCGAGAACCGTCTGGGCAACTTTGTATGACTTAAATAAATACTACTTAGACACTGACATTCGGATAAATTCAATTCTTATCCTGAACAACGATACCCTTAAACGGAATATTTCAGAATCTCATATTCGAGATTGTTTAAATTACCAATAATAGGTAAGTAAGTGAGAAATAAGTAACTTAATTTATGTGTCAGGCTAAAACAGCAGTAATAAAATCAATAAATGGGGAAACTTAGCGCACCGTTTCATGATCATATTTATTCTCCGGCATTCAGGGACGCTTGTGGTATGAACTACTTTTCTCATTACCTGTTAACTGTCAGTGTTTTACGGTACTGTTTCCAATATTCCAGATCTACTGTCGGCAAAAAACTGACAGTCATTTTTGTAATGGTGTGAGCATGGATATTTTGCATTTTCTCTTTACCTGCGTGGTTCTCAGTTTGTCCAGTTCTGCCTCGTGTGATTCAATCATCCCTGACGCGTCAAGTGATTCGTTCAAGTGTTGTAATTGGTTGAGACGACTCTCGTACCGAGACTCCAACTCGGCCTTAGATTCTTCCACATTCCTGAGCTGTAATCAAACCATTCTTATAAATGAAGCCTTCGTATCCATCAGGCGTGTCATTACGAAATGATGATTGTCATATTACTAAATAATCTAGTCTATAGTATCGCTTATATTTTTAAAACCGTGCTTGCAGTAAACACATGCACACATTGCGGACCTTAAAAAACCATTTCCTCTTACCTGGTTTTCTAAGGACATCGCAGTAGAAGTCTTGTCCTTCAGATCAGACTGCATTGAAAAATGAAGGATTTTATGACTTAAGGTAACTCAGAACTTTCTCGCAATCATGTTCTTCTAGTATTTTTGGTATCGCCTGTTTTAGCCACTGGTCCACCCTCAAATACACAACTCAAATTTAAGACTTAAATTTAGCAAGACAGAATACAGCAAAAATGTAGCATTTAGTCACTAGTTGTTATTGTAGTAACCAAATTTTCCCTTTTCGTTGTTAATATTTTTTATTGCAAACACTAATTTAAAATATTTTATCAACTGCACATAAGTTTATACCAGCTGTCTTTATATTTAAATTCAGCTGACCTATTTTTTTGTATTATAAATGAGTATTTGTTATCATTATTCAGGTATATTCGTTCTTTGCTGGATATAGGAGCAGTGCCTGGGAGAGACTGGGGCTTGGACTTATTCATTACACAATTAAAGTTCTACAACTTGTAAGTTTTTTAATGGATTAAGATCTTTTTTAGGGTGATTATAAGAAAAGGGACAGGGTGTGCTTTTTTGCGTAAATAAAATAGGTTTAAGACAAAAGAGCGAGACGAAAGAAATGTGGCGAACATGGAAGTTTAAAAAACATAGTTACTTCAAAGTAATTGTTTCTTTTGTTCTTGTAGATCTTTTACTGTGTTCATATACTAGATTTCGCCCTTGATCATACCCAGGAACGAAAGTGGCGCGTTGGCTCGCTTTTTTGTGTTTTATTGCTTGTTTGTTTTCAAGTTTGGTATCTCGATCGAAAGTGGGAGGAAAAGATAAAACGGATGTAACTTCCTCAGCTCCTTTCAAGTGCCGCGCAACGCTTCTTTGTATAACTCAAATGACTGAGATGAAGACCGCTATCTTTTCTCTCCTATCCAGTCCCCAAGAGATGGGCAGAGAAGCGGAAATGGAACCCTTGGCGTCATTAGTTACATGCATTGGCGGTTGTTACTGCATGAGGCCCTCAGACATCTTAAAATATTCCTTTGAAGTCCAGATGAGCGAACAGGAAAACGAGGCTGAACAAGCAGTAATGAAAAGCTGGAAGAAATCAAGCACAGAGAAAGTTGCACATGTTCCACATGTCGCGCTATAGTCCACAAGTGTACGGCCGGAGAAAGAGAGGTAAAGGACAATGAAAGAAAAATAGCACACTCTCACATTCATCAGAATAAAATGATAACAACAAAAGAGTTTAGTGATCCCAGCATTTATTATGTACATATAAGTATAACAACACACTACAATGAATAATATGAAACACACTGCATCAGACGTCATGCAGGATCAATCAGATTAGGAAATAAGTACGTTGCTGTTTTATAAAGATTTTATAAATTCGACTGAATTGTTTAGTTTGAATGTAATCTGACTGGATTTTTTTAACGTCACTGTCGCAGTTTCGTGACTATTTATATCTCCCTGGCTTCATTTTGTGTTGCGTGTCGCTCTTATTGAAACGTTCAAAAATCCTTGGTGTAAGATGTTACCTTATTTTTTACACTACATTTTAAAACGTTAAATATATACATAAAAAAGAACCTTAGAACCCTCGGAATGCATGTCACGCTCAGCTAAACAGCTTGTAAATATTGGCTTGCGTGACAGAGCGTTACCCTTATACAGAGTACGGCAAAACAGCATCAACATTTGTACATAGATTAGGATTTTCAAAGCTCGTGTGTACAAAACTACCTTACAACACATACACACCGCTGTCACGGTGTTAGTAAAATATTCTTACTTATAAATATATACAAGTTACCTTGGATCAATATATTAAATATTGTATAAAAATACCTTCCGTTCTTCGTATAATATTTAGACTTTTGGCCCACGTTCAATCGAGAATTTACACCGATCTAATGAAGACATCACTAAAACGATTTCAGTCGCTGAACATTGGGGTTACCGAGTTACAAATTCAGCCTTGCTGGGGTGGAGCAGGGCAAAACTTGCCCAGATAAATTACACACCTGAAAACCTTTTCAAAGTTTAAAAAATGCCGAGATTACCCCGTTACCGGAGGTTTTCTTTTAAGCTCAAAGGCCAGAGAGAAGTGACAAAACGCTCTGAGAGGCAAAGTATTTCGCGTATTGTACATCCAGTGTAATAAAAGCATTAAATGCTAAAAACGCGCGAGATAAAAACAAATAATAAAAAAAACCTTTAGCCAGCAGCCAAAATAAAAATCCGATTATAAATAGAGCGTTTATAAATAAAAGAGCTTTAGAAAAAAGAGTATAGTTTTGAAACGTTGTAGAGAGATTCCACTGTATGTTCGCGGGCTCGTTAATATCTCAATGACGTGCGTTATATCCGGGAACTCCAGAGGGACGTTGAGTCACGTGATGTGCGTCGCTTCAGTGTGAATTGCAAGCAGTGTTGTAAAGAGTATATCCAGGATCTTTGTCAGCTGATGGCCTTGAACCGGAATAACACAGGGGTATTAGTTTAGGAGACTAGTACAGTGAAGTTAGCAACGGCCCAACTCAAAGAGGTTGTGCAGAGGGGAACAGTTTAAAAACGGTGTTAAAAATTCACGTCACCTGTGGAAAACCGCAGCGATTGAGTACAAATTCAGTTAAAAAAAACAGTAAATACCGCTGCAAAGAACCTCCATAACTAAAAGTTGCCATAACAAAAAAAGATAAAAGCCACCAGTTGTGGCGATAAAAAACGATCCCGTACAGCCAGCACTTAAAAGCACTCTCTGAGAGCTGGGCCAGTCACTGGGGGCGGCGTCAAGTTAGCGCCTACAAGCACTCGCCGCAAAATAGATGTAACAGAAGCTGACAGAGTATCAATGATTCAAAACATTCTGCCAGTGTTAAAAAGTGTTTGTCTAACGAATTAAAAACTTCGCTACACACAAGGAATAAAATTCTCTACAAAAGGGGTTAACCTGAACAGGGGTGGATAAAAGTGCTAAAAAGCACTCCCCTGCAGTGCTGATGGGAACCATGTTTGAGAAGGTTAAAGATAAACAGAAACAAAACGGTAAAACAGAAAGGATAAAAAACAGCGTTTAACAGCACTCCCACTCATAAAAATCTTATTACTTGGACCACTGACAGACGCTCACGGACATAATTTACCACCACCTTTGTTCCTTCTCTCCGGAACAACAAGCGATACGCTTCCAGGCGAAATCTTGATGCCAGTCGAGCTTAACAGCTGTGCATTGTTTCCAGCTGTTTTGCTTTCCATTGTGTTATTTTCACGCAGCAAACTTGTGTTTTCTATTCAACTATTCGTGACCAGTAGTTCTTCGCTTGGAAAGTTGTAGTTTAGTAAATGGAGATATTTATAAACCCTCCTGGTCCATTTTTATCCTGGTCTCCGTACTACGCTTTCATAAAATGCACTAACAGGAAGAACGTCTTTCAAATCAATGTTATTGACTAAATATGATTAATCAGTTAGTCTCACCTGCAGAGAAGTCATTTGCTGCTGTTGCTGAGCAAGCGCCTGGTTCATTTCTCTGTACTGCTCAGTCGTCCGACGAAGATCATCTCTTAATTGACTCATCTGTAGAAACAAGCGGTGTTAGTATCAAACGTTACTGTGATCGCTTTGCTTTCTCTGTAGCCTAAGCTTTACCACAAGATTTCCTTCGATTTTGATTGGTTGAGCTTAATACTTGTGACAGGCCGGGTGTGGTTTACTCCCGGTAATCAAACGATAACTGCTGGAAAACTACGTGGCGCTGTTTTAGGCAAATTCTGATACAAAATAGCTTAAACAAGAAATTCTAGTAAACACAGATATCACCTGAACGCAGTAAACAACACTCCTAACTCTGTCTGAAGTGATAAACACAAATTCAAAAATGCAACTTAATACTGTACTGCCTGGAACAACAACTTACTTCAGTTTCGCGATCCAGTCTTTCCTTGTTGAACTTTTCTGTTTCTCGATCAAGTTTGTCTTTTAATTTCTCTATGGTGCGTTTCTGTAGAGAGAGCGACATTCGAGTCAGTGACATCTGACTATGCCATCGGATCACATATATACATGTTGATAAAATATAAAACGAAGTAAATGCGGGTAAGTCCACATCTCTGTGACAGCCATGCACTACAGCTCACCTTTTCTTCAATACTATCTGTCAGCTCCTGTTGTTGAAGTTTGCTTTCCTCCAGCTGATTTCTAAGGAATGACAACTCGCTCTGTGAATAAAAGAAGCAAATACGTAAGAAGCAAGTATTCTCCTCATTCGGTAACTTCCAACTGCACGACTCCCAGCTTTGCACATCTCAAAGAGACATGTTTTAGGTCGTTCTGCAACAATAGCAATCATTTTCACGTCAAAACTCCACAGGGTCTCCACAGTACAGTACGTTAGTGAGGCAGAAAGGTTCAGTGTCAACTAAAAAGTGTGAATGTTTCAGAACAGGGAACACTAATTGTATTTTTCAGAATCTACGTTCAGGTTTATACAAGTTAGATTTTGCAAAACCTGAGCTACGCAACTTTGTTAAGTGTTCAGAAAGTTCGCAAATTCTCAGTGGAGACCATGTATATGTATATATGCATGTTGACAATAAGGCATTAACAAACACAACCTACTTACATCTTTCTCGCCAAGGTTCTTTTTTAATCCCTTGACGGACTCCATTAAATTGTTTACACAATCCTGAAATAAGACAAAAACAAAACAGCAATAGTTAATATATTTTCATTTTATAAAACTCAAATGGCTTCCCGTAAAGGAACAACGCGAATGGAACCTACTTAAGGCAACTCACAAAGCCCTTCACAACTCATATTGGCCAAGTTATCTGAAACTTAATGTATTTCAACACGAAAGATGCTTAAGATCAAGTAACAGCATTCAGTTAGAGAGATCTTTAACTAATAATACTCTACAGGACCAGACTGCAAGTTTATTTAACACATTGCCCAGCAACGTGAGGTGCTGCCAAGACTATATTAAATTTTGCAAAGACACCAAAAACATTATTTTTAAGAGAGCTTTAGAACATCTGGCATAATTTTAATTATTTATTTATTCATTTATTTATTTTAGCATATCTTAAAACACAATTTTATCTCGTTTACATATAGATATAAATTTTTTAGATATCTTTTAACCTTTTTACAATTGTAAATTTAGTTAGCATCGGGCAGGCGAAGAGCCACCCTGTGGATATACTGCCCGAAATGCCATTATCATTATTATTATTATTATTATCATTATCATTATCATTATTACTATCATTATCATCATTATCATTATCATTATTATTATTATTATTATTATTATTATTATTATTAAACGTAAAAGAGTCTCTTTAAGACAATCACTTACAATGTCGGATTCATTTCGTTTATTCAAAGTTCTTATGTTGATCTTTGCTTCATCCAGTTCTTCTGACAAAGAGTGGATTTTCTGAGCCTGCAGGAATCAAAAGTATTAAACTCGTTAATTTTCTGGAATCAAACTCACCTCCGCACCGACTGTAATTTTTGCAAAAGTAGATAACAAAACACTAATAAATTGATCTGAGTGTGATCACTAATCTCTTACCTGTTGCTCGCATGTGGAGTTGCTCTCTTGTAGTTCAGTTCTGAGGGCCACTAGTTGTTCCAGTGCTCTAACCATGTCCTGAAATAAAGTAAATCGTTAGTAAAGCACTACAGGAACTGTTACAGTCCAGTCCAGTGTAACGTACCTGTTGTTTGTCTTGCTGAGCTAGCAACTTGTTATTGGTCTCGGTTTGTATGTCTAACTTCTCTAACGTTCCCTGCAAACAGGCAAAAAAGTATTAATGTTAGTTTCGAGAGAAACGAAGTGTATAGGGGCTGACGTTAATTTTTTCCAATTCTCCAGAAGGAAGTTGTAGATATGTAAGCACTGTTTGTTATGTATACCTGGAGTTCTTGTCCCATGTCCTTCAATCTCTGTCTTTCCGCCTGCAATATGCTCTCGTATTCTTCGATTTTATGGTTCTTGAATTCGAGTTCATCTCTTAGAGTTTCCACATCGGCCTAAAACACAACAAACCAGTGACTTAGTCAGGATGGAGAATCAGAAAGTTATCGCCAACTGATCAAAACGCTCAGAAAACAGGTGCAGGTGGAGAGAGAGCTTTATCCCTTCTCCTCTCGGGGCGGGCAGAGCCTACTCATAAGCTACTTGCTGGAAAGTAAAGAGAAACTTGTCTCACCTGTAAGTGTTGATTCATCTCTAATGTGCTCTCTGTTTCTGTTTGCTGGTTGTAGTTCTCAAATTCAAGTCTCGTCAACTGAAAGGAAAATGTTGAATACAATCTTTAGACGAGAATGATACGAAACAGCAAAAAAGGCATTCAGCAACTGAATAATGAGCAAATTTCATGGAAAGTAGACATAAAGATCGAGTCCAGCTCAGAATAAGGTAGCGGCAAGACTGTCGTGCAATCTCTCCTTCCAAAATATTACGTGACCCGTAGAAAGAAGGTCTACGCCACGCCGGAAGATATGAATATATCGTACACTTGTTATTTTTCGCTGGCTCGAATTGAAAACAGACTGGGCTGATGCAGGTTCTCAGATTGCGGGAAACGTAGAAAACACGCTATGTTCGCCAACCCTTAGTGGAAGTGCTCAGACACTTTCCGATCCATTTTATCCAGTCAAAATGTAGTAATCAACCTAATTGCTCTCCAAAGGTTGTCACGCTTGCTGGTAACTTCCGACACAAAAAAAGAGGGCTAAGACATTACAAAAAGTTCTCCTTGAGCCAACGTGGCTCCTTTGTTTTTTTTGTTTTTTTGTTTTTTCTGGGAACTGATTAGGTTGCTGTGATGCTTTGATCGTCACATACCTTGCTCTCCAGAGCAGCCAGTCTCCTGGCAGACTCAATACTCTCCATATCTCGTTCCTTCTTCAGTGAGTCGACTTGTCTCTCGGCAGCTTGAAGTAAACACTTTACATCGTCTATTTCACTACGAAGAACTGAACATGAACAACATATACAATTAAGATGTTTGGGTCTTGCCTCTTTTTAAACGAAGACAGTCATTGTACAACTGATAAACATACCCGTTAGCTCTCCCCGGGCCTCTTTGAGCTTGTCAGCTAGACCCAGGTTCTTCATATTCAGCTCGGTCTCAGTCGCAGCGTGCTTTTCCCGTTCACTTGTAAGAACCTAAAATATGATTAAAATAAATTCTCAACTCTTGTGTATTACGAAGCGGTTTCCCAATGTTTCTCGAGAACAACAGGGGTTGCTTTGTAATGGCCTAACGAAAACAATAAACAATACATTCAATACATGTTTTTTACGTAACATAAGATGTCGGAGCACGCCGAGCAAGTATTTAACTGATTTACATGTAAACTGACCGTTGTGAGATGTTGCACTTGGTGGTCAAGTTTGTTGACGGTTTGGTTCAATCGTATTCTTGTTGCCTCTTCTGTTTGAAGCTGTTGAAGCTGAATATTGTTCATCTCCTGACAAAGATCAAGAACAGAACGAGTTAAGCGCGAGCAAGTAGTTATAACTTAGCGAAGAAATTACCTGAACATGAAGAAAGAAAATGATTCTGCCGACTCTCCTACATGAGGGCTCTGTTACATGCACTTGGTGCAAATTTTTTCACAATTTTGTTGCGTCACAAACAGTAGGACACGTGGCCCAGTAGTAAAGGCTCCTGAAATGAACACGTGTCGCAACGTTTGTTGTTGTTGTTGCCGCAAGCGTAGTACGGTACGGAGTAGAGTCAAGATTATTCTACTTCATAGAACCTTTCCAAGTATTTATGGATTTAAAGCTAAAGGTGAACTTAAGTATGAAACAGAAGCATACATTGCACGAAAGAGTAATAAAATAGAATTTTCACAATCGAAATGGGCGAACTGTTGTCTGTAACATTACTATTAGTTTTACTTTTATGTTATGTTTAACTGCAGTTATTTAACTATTTAATACTTATTCTTTTGTATAAATACATACACTGTATGGAATGTAAATAGCTGCACTGTAAGTAATGGAAAATATCTGTCATTGGTAATGTAAGTAGTGGTACTGTATGTAACGTAAATAACTGTATCGTTTAATGTAAGCAATGTAAAAATGAAAAGATAAAAAATAAAAACAAAAAAGATTATTCTACTTCATGCAACAGTTGCAGCAACAAAAGCGTCGCGAGACGTGTTCACCTCAGTAGCGGCAACAAAACGCCATTCGTCTCTGAGTCTAAAACTTGGATGGCAATAAAATTGCGAGGAAAGTTGCAAAAAAAAAAACAATTCCCTCAAATAACAGCGCTTTCACTAAAATCTTTCTCTTGCAGCTCAGATTTTTTTAAAGGATTCATTAGGTTAGTAACACACCTGTTGTTTTTTAAGCTCTTCCAAGAGCGATTCACTGTAAAGTTCCTCATCATCCATCTCTTCCGAGTCGAAGTTAAAGAATGGTTCATCCATTTCACTGTCTGATCCAATATCGTGGAAGCTATCTCTCCTAATCAGTCCGTTGGGTTGTTTTGGTTTCTCATCAGGTGTTCCGATGACAGGAGACGCTAGCTTGGATTTTCGATTGTTGGCCGGTGATCGTTTTGGTGTACTGGCCGCGCTACGTGGACTTAGTCGGTTTGAAGTCAGCAACACTTTACGAGGAGATGTGAGACTCTGAAAGAAAAATAGAGAGCTAGGTTGTAAAGCCTGTCATTACCTAGCAAACCTTTGAGGATGGTTTGTTTTAAACGGCGACACGAGGAAATGAAAGAGTACAGGAAGTCGTCAAATTTTGCCCACGGTAATTTCGTGTCAGACTCCGACCTCCTGGACGCTATTCCCAAAGGCTTATTCTGATTGCAAATCAATCTTGGAAGGAAAAAAAGAGACGGTTCGTAGTCTAAAGGAATCCTGTAAGTAACGAAGTCTGTCCACCCTTCAAGGTTTAAATCAGGTGTTGTCAAATCTCTGCTGGTGTAAACTGATAGGTCAATGAGCAGACTAATGAGGAGACGCCTATACTTAGTTACTACGCCATGAGTGCTGTACACACTGTGTGTAACACTTTCTTACCTTGATCGTTTGCATGTGGATGTCATTTAGTGTCGTCCTTTCTACTGCTGTCTTCAGTTGATGCGCTTCAAGTGCTCTCTACGGAAAAATCCACAAACATTTCACTGAGTATATCAAACAAAGAAAAGTTTTAAAATGCAAAACCCCCTGTTAAAATAAACAGAAGTTGCTGGGTAGAATATTTTGTAGAATATTTTGTAGAATATTTTGTATAATATTTTGTAGAAATTTTTGTAGAAATTTCCGCTTTGAAACATGCATAATCTTGTCGTCTTTATTTGTTGCCGAGTTTTCGTCAGGACACTCGTTAGAAAGCCATGAACAATAGCTATGCCGGCCCAGCTCTGGTCATTACCTCTAGTTCAGCGTTGGCTTTTCTAAGGGATAACACATCAGCGTCTAAATCGATGCATTTCTTTCTGAAACTCTCTTCCTGTCCCACAAGTTTCTCCTTCATCTGCTGCAAGCTTTCGCGAGTCTCTGTCAGCTCCTCGCGATTCTTGAAAGGGAGAAAAACAATTAACCCAAGTTTGATTCTCAAGTGAGATACATCAGTGCAAATGAATATATGAAAGATGATATTTTTTCAGGCTTTAATTTCACAGCTGCTTAAGTTGTGTATATAACTGCGATGATAATCAAGTGATGTCTTCCTATGATTAACATCAAGTTAGTTTCTTCTTATAACATCAAAACAAGGTCAGTCAGTCAAGAGGTATATTGTTTTGTTAAAAACTTAATTTTCAGAACTAACATTAAAACGAAAAAGAGGCAATCGCTAAAAAGGATTCATTCTTTGGTTTGACAACTGAAAAGATTTATCCAAAACCAACCGATTTAAAAGCTGAGGATTGAAAGAAACGAAACAAACTGTTCACACTCAGTTGATTTTTTACTCAAGGCTGTTGCCATTGGTTTGGGAATAAATCGGAAAATACAATTGAAGTAGTTTCTCATTTGAATAGTTGCGATAAAAAGACACACTTACTGATTCCAGCTGAGCCTGTAACTGTGCTCGTTCAAGTTTGAACTTTTCCAGCTCCGCATTGGAAGCTTCTAAGTTCAACAACGAGTTGGACAGACTTCTTTCCAGTTCTGAAAGTTGGGACATTAAAAATAATTTTAACACACACATAGCTGTTAGCCTTCCTTTTGTTCAGTTCATATCACGTTCTTTACAAACCTTTGAATGGTAGTTATCCTCATGACATTAGTAAGAGTCGCACCAATTTCACCCTAATAAGCCCTGAACATAGTCCTCTCATATGCATTACTCCTAACATGACCATGGTTGAACCTCTTGTTTTCTCCCAAACAGTTTGGAGAACAATTTCTAGCTTCTCTTTACGAAACACATAGGCATGTTTTATGTGAAGTCAGAAGAGATTTTCATGATAAGACATGTATGAAAACAATCCATGTATTCTGTTCAATGACCAAGAGCCAATGAAATCTCCATCTACGCAAAGTGTATGACAAGAAGGTCACGAGAAGGACTGTTGTCATAGAAACCTTGCGACAGAAACTAAGACGAATTTAACCAGACACTAAAAGGTAAGACGCTAAGCTGTTTTTCCTTTGCAGATAAAACGTCAAAAAACAACTTGACAACAGAATTTAACGGCTTATGTTCTTTTAACAAGAAAAGCAAGCCGAGGGTAACAGAAATCGTCACTGACAGAAGAAACTTATGATGGCTAATCAACCGGCCGTTTGTAGTCATGCATGTTTCACAATTAAGAATAAAACGAAAGCAAGTGAATTAGAAACTTACCGCTTCCTTGAGGTGACTGAAGAAGTTCTCTGAGTTGCCTCTCAAGCTGTAGCGTGTATCGGTGACTCTTAGCAAGGTCCTGAGCGCAATCAGTTCCATCTTCATCAAGGGACCGAATGCACTTCAATTCCGCTGAGGACAAGATCAAACCAAACTAGTTTACAATTCTCATTCAAAATAAAATGTTGTGTCAGAGTTCGGCGAGCATTATTCTGAACTCGACAATTTTCTTTTTGACATCGCCATAACAGATGCTAGTTACCTCTAAGCTCCAGATTTTCCATGGCGAACCTTGTGACATCTGGATGATGTTCAATTTTGTCTTTCAAGACTGCAATTTCTTCCTTCAGGAGTTGCTAAAAAGTGAAACGAAAAATATCATTCAAAATTACTTCACAAAACCATTGATTTTCAGAATTTATAAACAAAGTTGAATAATTATACAATTTTTCAAATAAATCTTGGATAGTAAAACTAGCCAACTCGGGCATTACACAGCTTGGACTCTTATAGAGGAATCGTTCTTCAACGACAAAGACGCAAGTTCAATTCACAAGTGTGATCAAAAAGTGGTTACTGACCTAACAGCGTAATTTGTTACAGTAAAAGGTGTGATAGGACTATGCGAGAAACACAGAAATAAGGATGAATTGTATAAAAGCAAGCAAATACTCTTCTTGCATGCTCTTACAATTTCTCTATCCTTCTCGTCCTCCTGTCCCTCGGAGCCTTCCTTTTCTCGTTTTCTTAGTCTCTCCAGTCTGGAAATGGTGCTTTCTCGAAACTTTAGGATCATCTTTGTCGACTGAGAAATAAAAAAATAAATGAGTTAACTAAGGTTTGCACATTAACACAGTGAACCAGAACGTCTTGTTACTGGAAAGTTTCAGATACACACCTGTAAGAATTTCTCCTTTTTACTGCACAGCTCTTCGAGCTTTTGTACTTTTTCAACTAAGCACTGTCATAACAAAGGAAAAAAGAAATGAAGAACAGAGCGCAGAACTCTCAGTCAACTGTTACAGTGACTGTACATGCATCAGAAAATTAGTGGGAGTAGTTTCTACGATGGACTAACGTCTCATGAAGTGGATTACTCCTAATGTATTAGCTACCGATATTATTAGCAGCAAAATTGACTTCAGTTACAAAATTTAAAAAAAAAAATAGTTACAGACGGAAATCATCTTGCTCTCAATCACAGTTGACATAGGTTTCTCTCAGTAAACTTTGAATCATACATGAATATATGCTGCTGTAATGCATAAAGGCTGCAAAAGAGGATCATGTATTGCACATGTTTTACCAGTTTCTAACCTGTTTTTCTTGTTCAGCTCGATCTCTAGCAGCAGTGGCCGCCACCATCATCTCCTTCCACTCTCGGTACTGTTGATTGAAGTCTACTCCTGAATTATTTTTGTTATTGTTGTTACTGTCCGGGGCTACACACGCCTCGCCACGAGAACTCTTGTTGCGTTCAGCTTCCGTTGATTCTAGAGAGCGAGAACCAGATTCAGTTGGATCGTTAAAGCTTAAGCAAAGGTAATTAAGTTGTTATTGTAGTCTGGAGGTGACTGTAAAGCCCACATTGCAGTTACCTTCATGAATCATTGTGTAGAGCAGTTTCTAACAATGCAGTTACACAGTTTGCCCTTATAGGGGAACCACAAGTCACATTGCAAAGAGACTGCACTTCTCATTGGTGAAACTTTGGACAATATGACCACATTTGAGTTCCTGAATGTTTAATATAATCTCAAAATTAACTTCTTTAAAGTGATTTGTATTTAGCTTAGCAAGTGTACCTTGTCTAGTGATTTGCTTTGGGACACCAGCTGAAAACCAAACAAAGAAACACACAGCTAGGTAAGTTATGTTACAAGCTACACAGTTGTATGATCAAATTGACCAGTAGGTTACACTTAAACACAATTATTGGAAAAGGTTGAGACTGATGAGTACCATGATTACGGGAGGCGGCGTGGCTGAGTGGTTTAGGGCGCTGGATTTGAAATCTGGAGGTCCCTGGTTTAAATCCTCCACCCTACCACTATCTGGATTTGTTCTCAGTAGTCCCGAGTTCAACTCCTCAACCGCATTGTGTAAATAGCCAACTGGTCGGCCTATATTTGAAATATTTGTTTACTTATTTACAGTGTCCCCAATTAGCACATTAATGCTAAATACATCGACACTCAAATAAAGCGATTATTATTATTATTATTATTATTATTATTATTATTATTATTATTATTATTAGTGTTATTATTATTATTATTATGATGATGATGATGATGATGATGATTATGATTAACAGTGAGGAGGGCAATATTTTTGCCGATGTCTACATGTACTTAAATGGCATACTGCATGACAACTGAATACAAGTGAATCTCACCTCTAGCTTTCTCCAATTCCTCTCTGAGTCTTCTTATTTCAGCTTGAAGAGCAGTAATACTTCCTGTAGCATCTTCATTCACCACAGCCTAACAGTCATTAACATTTACCAACAGTTAAACATGTGTCCTTCACGGCAATTTAAGATAAATTTAGGGGTACAAACTCTAAAGAACACAGAAAAACATACCTTGTTCTTAATCATCTTTGCCCTTTTGGCGAAGTTCAGAGTGGACAATGTTTCACCAAAACACCTGAAATAAAGAATGTTCAATTTATAACTTAATTACAATTGATTATTATAGTTGAACCCCAATTAAGCAGCCACCTATTAATTACATGTAGCCACTCCTATTAGGCGGCCAGATATCGAAGTCCTGACGAGGGTTTTTCTATTGTTTTTACCTCTATTAAACAACAGAGGGTGGCCATTTGATAAGGGTTGTCGTTGAACTGTAGTCACCTTCCTCAAGATGTCAAAGAGAACAACTAGGTCATCTTAAACTGGAGAATTTAACGTCTACCAAAATAAAGCATCTATAAAACTTACTTTGCTGAAGGGTGTACGTTGGCAATTAGATAGGTTTTGGCATTGCCACCCAAAGAATCCTACGGAAAAAAGGGACAGTGTATGGATCAAGTGAACTATTTAACAGGATCTTCATTTCTGCAGCCAGTTACAAATAAAATGCAACTTACCCTTAGAAGAAAAGTGAGCTTAGAATCTCTGTAGTGTACATGTCTCGTTTTTCCATGGGTTATGTCAACTAAGGCCATTATCACATTACCAAGAGCTGATAAAGATTTGTTTATACTGCTAGCTTCCTACAGCAAGAGAAAAAACAGCAAGACATTAGACAACTTGACTGAACAGAGTCAAAATAAAATGGTAAAATCCTGCAGGGCTGTCATTAAGGGCTGTAACCCATAACACCTGTTATGGCTGAGTATCCGTGATGAGCCCTTGATGTTACGACCTGCCTCTTCTTGGTACAATTCACCCACAAAGTAACAAGTTTGTTATGGGTGTGAGGACCAAGGCAGTGGGTGACTCAAAACTTAATGACAGCCCTGTCCTGAACCTACACTCTTTGAGACAATGAGCCACAATGCATCTATCCCACTTTTTAAAAAATGACTTCTTTACAGAAAAATAAGTAAAGTTTACATGTACCTTGAGTCTGAGACCCTCTGCATGTGTATCCTTCTGTCTTTCAGATCCCGCTAAGTCCACCAGATTAAGGCGTGACACCTTGATACTAGCCATGCCAGCTTTACGTTCCTGAATAAGATTAGTAATAGCAAGTCATGTTATAATTTTTATTTAACAATATCATTATTAAAACCTCCGATGGGGAATTCTTCTTGACTAGAAAGAGATCTCTGCAAAACTGTGAAGCTTAGGGCCTGTTTACAGGGAGGGAGGGTTACCTTAGCAGGTGGGTTAACCGTAGCTGGAGGGCAAAAGATAGCCGGGGTCTACAAGCAAAATTTGACAGGTACAGTAACCCCACAACCCAGGACAACTTAATGCATGGTTAGACTCAAAGGGTCTGGAAAAACGTAGAAAGTTAACCCGGGTAGGCTGGTTAACCCTACCTGGAGTGTTTACAAGGGAAAAAGTTAACCCGCCAAGTCCAAGCCTAGGGGGGTTACAAGTGCAATTAATGTTAAATTCACCAACCTTGGATTCTAAAGCTACTGTAAAAACAGCATGACTGCGACTACTTTCTCTGTTCATTGACGTTGAAGCCACTCTCCTGTTTAACCAGCCCGAATTTAGCACCTGAGGGAAGAAAATATAATACAATATTATTTCCTGTAATTCAGAATGACCTTCATTCAGTGTCAAGCCTCTATGGGTTTGGTAGTCAGCTCTATAGTCCTGTTCAAAGTTTCAGCAAAGGCACATAATAAGACAAAAATAATACTTAAACAGCTGGAAAATAAAATGAAACAACTGAACTTGTGTCTTGATATCCTCAAGCTAAATTTAATTAGCCTTAAAGAGCCAATTGGCTAATCAAAAACAAACTGACAAAATCACATGCAATAATACTTAGATTTGAAAGTGTGTCTGACAGTTGTTTTTCGCTGGCGATAAGCTTATTTAAATAAAGGGCTCTGCTAGAGCTTGAATTAAAAATTTCTAAACCTGGCAATGCAAGGTGACTTCAAACAAGAATGCAGTTATCTTTCTTTTTATAACAAACCTCTATGACAAGAACTTCGAACTTGGAGTCCTTGTTATACAAATGTAAAAAAAAAAACATAAATACCCTGTAAGCATCTCTGGCACTAGCAACATCTCTCTCAAGAAGCCCATCCACAAATACACCTTTCTTGATATCTTCTCTTAATGAGAGACCAGTTGATGCAGGATCTAACAGATCAAATATCTGTTCATTGTAGATTTCAAGGAAAGAGCAACGACACAAGAACTCTACCCGTTCACCATGCTGAAAATAGATTAATCAAAATCTGTATTACAATTTTCACTTTACAAAAAGAGAAATTAAAGAAACTAACAAATATTAAATGTTTCAATATTATGACACAGCTATTATTCATTACATTTACATAATGTTTACTAATTATCACCAAGTGTATGCTGGTATAAACAAAGGCAGGTAAATTATGAGACTGTATTCTCAGTGTTTTCAAAATCAGGTGAATCAGAGTAGAAAATCAATAACAATGCTGCTACATACGAGCAGAAATCAATTAATGTGCTACAGTACTAGGCAATGCCTACACCTGCACCATTAAACTGAATAGCCTTTAGAGTTCACATCAACTAGACACAACATTCTCACTACCTTTTCCTGTTCTCTGTTTATGAGACTGAAAAGGTATTCAAAGGCACGTGGTATGACTCCTCGGAGCTGATGAGTAAAACTCTCCTCCTCTCCCTCTGCAGGCCCTGTTAAACAATGAGAATGATAGTTTAAATCCATGAACTAAACAATTGAGGTAGGAGCATGTTTAAAATGACAAATGGTGAAATGAGGAAATGACACAACAGGTAAGAGCCAATGTGGGATACAGGTGTCTGTTAGGGTTAGCCGTTACAATTATTATAATAATTGTGAGCTAACCATAGTACATACATACATACATACTTTATTGTTACCTCCCCAATGGGGCTTTTCAGGAACAATTACTTAAATTACTAAGTTACTAATAACTACACAATCAAAATTAATCAAATTTAAAAAAAACATTTAC